GAGATAGACGACTGTCTGGTGGTAAATACTGACCAGCAGTAGCAGCAGCAGCTGGAGCCGGATCACCAGCACTGCCAGCGTGTTAACGGCAGCGCTCAGAGGAGAGCGGCAGAAAGGGCAGATCTCCGGGCTGCCGCAGTGCCTGCACACCCACTGCCTTCCCTGGCTCGACTGTCTGCGAGGAAAGATAAGAGGCTGGTGCAGAGGAACAATAACAATAAAAACAAAAAACTATTTAGGGACAGAAAAACCAACACAACATTAATCATTTGGAAGTAGCTGCAGAACCACTGTCCCCGGCCGGGGCGCGCAGGGCAGGTGGCAGCGGGTGGCGGTGGCGGTGCTGGGATCCTTCTGTCCTGCACAGGCCAGCTAAAGGGGCCAAGGGGACAACGGGGAAAATGAATCCCGGCCACAGGGAGACCCCGCTGCCCCGCTGGGAAACCTGCGGGAAATGGACAAGGCGCCCCGTAGCATGGATGGATTGACAGGCGGTGATAAAGGACTTCTCCACTCTCCAGAGGTGATGGAAAAGGAAAGTTTAAAACTCCCCAGGCACATGTTTCAGTTTCAGCGGAGCGGTATGGAAATGACTGACATTCAGTACCAGGTCCTGAAGGCTTTTCGGAGAGTCAGAAGTTACGTTTCGAAGGGCTGTCATCATCGTTTCTGTCTTTACATATTTCCAACACACCGGAAAGTTTCCATACGAGCAATTTGAACATTTTACAGTAGCCGCTCTTTCCCCCGGAAGCCAAAACCAGCCAGGGAAGCAGATCTGCAGCAGGCTGGCAGTTGCTCTTTGCCTCGCTTCACCTGACCAAGAGGTGACGGTAAGGACGGCTGCATTGCCAGGAGCCCCCTGGCTCTACCACCGCCTCACTGGGAACTGCCCCGGCACCAGAATCGTGTCCCTCAGCAGCTCGGCATCTTCCCCGAAAGAGTAAATAACTCAGAAGCAGCAGCTAACGCAACTCCAAAAGGTCACATTTGGCGGGGGTGGGACGGGGGGGGGACCCTAAACAGTTGTTGCTACTTTTTTGATTTTTTTTTTAATAGCGGCGGGTGGGACGGGGGGGGACCCTAAACAGTTGTTGCTACTTTTTTGAATTTTTTTTTTTTTTTAATAGCGGTATTCCAGCTTTTCCCGACTCTGAACTTCTGTGCTTGATTGCACCTTATGATTTTCTGCTAAAAAGACGTGTTCCCTTGCTTTATTTCTACTTGTTAAATAACTTCTGTTGTGCCAGGAGAAATAAAAGTACCACCAGACACCCAAGGTGCCGAGTGTTTGCATTTGGTATTTCTACGACGAGATTTTAAATCACGTAATCTTGAATTTACACCCAAGTCTGTGCAAAGTTTGACAAGAGACGAACCCCCGCCCCAATGCTACTGGGGCAGGAGAGGGACGGGGGGCACAAAAAAATATGAACTTGGGGACATCTGTGAAAAAAGGTGTTCGAAAAAGGGACGCTGAGAAAGCTGACGTCGAGGGGACGAGCAGGAGGTTGAGCCTGGCACGAAAGCGAGCCGTTACACAGATATTTTGTTATCATCAGAGAAATCTTTGGACTAGGGAACGAAAAGGAGTGAGAAACTTAAGGCTTGCGAAAGGGAGAAGCGATCCCCCATGCCCAAGGTCCCGGTGCCCGGCAGTCCCTCTCCGGTCAGACACGGCTAGGCTGCCGTGGGGGACATTTATGAAATTACACCCCCTGCTCCTGGCCACAGTTCTGAAATCACGGAAGTTTTTAATAAATAAATAAATAAAAAGTAAAGTAAAAGAAAAGGAAAAGATAAGTGCTCGCTGGGACACTGGTCGTCCAGGCTGCTGCATTTCTTTTGCTAAGCGCTGTCATTTTTGCGGTATATATCATCCCAATCGTGACGAGAACGTGTTAAAGACCCCACTAATTTACAAAGAACAAAGACATTTTCCAGCTACATTAGGAAAGAAAAAGAAGAAAGGAGGGTAGGAAAAAAAAAAAAAAAACCAAAAAAAAAAAAAAAAAAAAAAAAAAAACTAACAACCCACAGCAAACCTCGACTCAATTGAAAACAACGATTTTGTTCTTGGACGGCTACCAGGTTTTTGCTCTTACCGTCCCGGGACTTTGATTTAACCTCAGTAACATCCTGAAAGGCTACAGTCACTTTGCATACATTGCATCGTACCTTTTCGGTCCTGCAATAGAGAGCAGTACCGAGCTGACGGCGGGCTCTCCAGAAAGGTACTTTTTTCGGTAAAAGAAACGTGATGAGCGGCACGGGATTAAATTAAACCTCGCAGAGATCCAGTTTGTATGAACAAAAATCGCCTAGTCTTTAACAACCTAGTCACACACGCTGGACATCGACAACGGTGTCTGAAAAATTATTACGAAATTACGCGGGTCTAGACACACCCCCCAAAAAACTATTAGAAAAAAAAAAAAAAAGTAAAAGTGCCCCAAAAATCTCGGTAGAAGTGACCGGTGTTAACTGCGGCTTACTGATCCTTCAGCTTCGCTTCGACACGCAGATCACGTCCATTCTCTCCACAGGTTTCCCAAAATCTCGCCTTTCCAGCCCATTCTGGGGGCTTAACCGTACGGAGAGCGATTTGGGGGAGCGGAGGGGGCTCCACAGCCCGCCTTCCTCCCGCTGCGGGGCTGCCCGAGCCCTCCCGAGGCGTTTGAGCGAGGGGCAAGGGGAGGTCACGGGGTCCTGGGGCTGCCTCGCAGAGCCCGGGGAGTGCAGCCCGGGAGAAACCTCGGTGCTCCCGCAGAATTCCCAAGAAAACCGCCGAGGAGGAAAGCGGGATGCCGGAGTCGCTCCTGCTTCGCTGAAAGTGCAGACGCACCATGTCAGCTCCGGTACAGCTGAAGCCCCCCCTTCTCGCTCCCTCTTCCCTCACTTCTCTCTCCTCCCCAGCTGCATCTGGGGCTTTTATTGTTGGGCTTGGATTTTTGATTTTTCGGTTTGGGTTTTTCTTTCATTTTTTCCTCCCTTAAGTGCAAATATCTTCTCTCCTTTGCCTTTGACATTTGGGGCTTATGAGCAAGAAGAGCTCTCTCTTTCCATGACAGTACGGGGGAATTTTAGGGGTTCTTTGAAAAAATAAAGATCAGGGAGGCGAAGGCGTTGACTTTATTTAGTGGTGGTTGGCAGCGCCCGCCGAGCGCAGAGCCGGAGGAGGCTGAGCGACAGTGGCTCATCCCCACGGTGAGGCAGCAGGGAAGTATCCCCGTGTCCAGCTGCAAACTGGGAATCTGCTGGGAAACGGGTCTTGGGGGGGTGTCGCCACCAAACCGAGAAACAACTTTTTCCCGACACCCAAAACCGCAGGAGGCATTTTCCTGCCCCCATCCCTGCTTAGGGGCACGGGGAGCTGCTTTCAGCCTCTGTCTCCGAATTTCGCTGGTTTCTTAAGAGGAGACTCTGAATTATCACTGTTGGAAGAAACTCACAGCCGCTACAAGTTGTTACTAAAGAGCATCGAATCAAGCCTCTATTACTGCAGTCAAGTTTTCTTTTTAAAAATAAATAAAGAAAAGGAAATTAGATTTTTTTGTCCTATTATTAAATGCAGTAAGTTGCCGTACTTGACCAATAAAACCCCCAAGGTTTATAAAAATATATCAGTAGTAATGACAATAATACCAAAAGCGGCGCTCGAAGCGGTGAGCAAACCCGGTAAACGCCTGACCGGAAAACCAAGGCGTTTGGAGCTAAGTTTTGTCTTTTCAGTTCTCCTGCTGGTGGCAACGACGTGTCGATAAACAAAAAGTGAGAATTGAGGGGGAACGGCGGGGGGCAAGGGAGAGGCGGCAAGCGCGGCTTTCCAAAGGCGGAGTTTTCTGAGGTAATTTCATCTCGAGTCTTTCGTCATTTTGAATATCAAAGAAAGCTGACTGAATGATTTTCCCCGTCCCTCGCCTGGCCGGGGTGATGCGGTATCTTCGCGCACAGATTACTTTAATCACGATGTTAAAACATTCAGGGTTCTTCCCCTGACGCTGACCGTGCGTTAAACAAACGCTCGGCGCAACTGTCCGAGCTCGCTGCGAACTGCATTCAGCTATGAATCTTGACAGTGTGGACATTTGGAGTTTAATCGTTGTTACTTTTACTTTACTTTACAGAAGAAATATGGAAAGTTGTTTGGTAAGTTTTTGATTGGAACTTCAGAGTTTCCTTCTCTATCGTAAGAGCAAAGCAGTGTGCAATATGTAGGAACTTTTCCCTATAAGGCATCTATTTCCCGGTGGAGAAAACAATGACTATCCCTTCGGGACATAAAGTACAGCTCTTTAAAACTTGGGAAAAAGACCTTGTCTTCCGCTTAAGCTCTTTCCCCCTTAAAAACCCGCCGGTAAACCAGCGCTGAGGCAGGCAAGCTGCTCTGTCCGCAGACCTGGGAGGAGGGGAAAAGAAAAAAGCAGAGGCATTCCTTAGAGCAGAAGTGAAACCGTCTCGATCCAGGCGAGTTTGTTTGTAAACCCGGGAAGCAGCGAGCCCGGGCGGCGGCGGGGGGGCGGCTCCGCCCAAGGGGTGCGGGGTGCGCGGCGGCGGGGCGGCGGGACCCGCCGGGGCTGGGGCTGCAGCTGCTGACTCAGAACAGCAATGTAGGTCATAACGAGTTTCCTTAAGTTACCTAAGTTCCAACAATTCAGCTTTTCTTTAGAGACTTCCAAAGTGCTGTTGCAACATTTCTGAACGCCGTGGCTTCTGCTGAAGCTCAGCCGCCGGCTCCGAGCCACCGGGCTGCGGAGGGGCAGCGCCCGGGGCGGGCATACCCACTTCGGTACTTATGCCTTTTACATCTCGCCTTTATCATCCCATTTCCACCGCAACGCTGTTTTTCTTTCTTTACTCTTTTCTCTCAGAATGTTTAAAAAAAAAAAAAAAAAAAAAAAAGTGCCAACGCGTCGCACTCCTTTTTCAGAACAGAAGCGAGAGAATTGCCTACCTACTCTCTGCTTACTTCAGCTCTTTCCAATAAGGTTTATTCACGGTTCACAGTTTGGATCTATCCTTTATTTCCACTATTTACTACTTTCCACCACCAGTCAGTTTTTACACCATCAGTTAAAAGGGTGTTAAAAGAGCTCACTCGTGCCACGGGTTTTGTACGCAAAAAAACAATCCAACACTCAACACCATCCGTCTTCGAACTACGTAATTTTCGTTAATTTTTTTTTCTTTCCCCATTCCTTTTTCTTTTTTTTTTTTTTTTTTTTTTTCTTTTCTTTTCTGTAACCACAGCAGAAGGAGCAAAGAGTAGCCGCAGTCCCCACGGAGAGCCCACGGAAGATGAGCAAGCACCGTGTTCTGTCGCAAGAGCAGCGATGTGGGACGGAGATCTGGCGGCGAAGTAGCTGAGGGGAGGAAAGCCCGGCATTCAGGGGACGCTTCAAGAAAGGCACCACACTAACGGAATTTATTTTATTCGCTCTGAGCTTTCCTCAGGCATTACCTGCGCTCCCCGCTCCGCAGGGAGCTCCACCACAAGCTCCACCGTGCGTAGGTTGGGCAGAGCAGGAGGGGGAGAATTCCGAGGGAATAGCACTCTCCCCTAGAAAATCATCATCGTGAAGGCATCTGTTGTCCGAAGCCTAAGAAGAGAACTCATCCCCCCATAGAACTCACGAAAACAAGGAGCGGGAGAAAACCCCCTAAACGTCGCCCGGTTCGACGGTTGTGTTTCTGCTTGGCAAGAATCGCCCGCGGGTCCATCATGAGTATTTTTAGGGCGATCACACAGCCGATGTCACGGTCACGCACGTCTTCAGCCTTCCTCCTTCCCTCCAGCCCCCCTCTAACCCCGCAGTGACAACCCACCGGCCTGTGTGACAGCAAGGAAGGATTTTCCCGTCTAAGTATAGAAAGATTTGCTCAACAGAGCAGGAGCCCCGTGGATGTTTTCCCGAGCATGTTATAAGTAATAGCACCAGCAGCTCCACGGAGCCCCATGGCTGGAGCCGGGAGCGCTCGGCAGGCTCGGACAAGCCCGGTCTCCGCCCGGGGCACAGCGGCTTTGCCTCCCGGGGCGGGAGGGACGAGCCCTCGCTCTCAAGAAAAAAAAAAAAAAAAAAAAAAACCAAACAAAAAAAACCCCACCAAGCCAACAAACAAACAAACACAGCAGCAATAACAACAACAACAACAACAAAAAACACCCCAAAAGCAAGTTGAAAGGAAACAAAAAAAACCAACAACAAAAAGAAGCACACTTGTTTTGGTTTTTCTCCAGGCTTGCTACCCTGCGCAGTCCCCACCGGCAGAAAGTTCTCCCCCGTCCCGCGGCTCCCGAGGGCGGTGGCCGGGGTGACCGTGGGCGTTCAGGACCCGGAGGGAAACGAAGCGTGGGCAAAGCTCGGCACCCCTTTGGGAACACGTCCCCCCAGCCTTGGCGGCGGTGGAAGGCCCTCCTCTGGTGTTTGCAGTTTTCTTTGTTTACATTCAGTTTAGAAACATTGGCCTTCGGCCAGAAAAGCGACGGTTCCCCTTCTCTCTCCCCCCCCC